ACTAGCAGAGTACCCGTACTTCGTACGAGGTTGGCATATAAGTTTAAAATGCTTATTGCAGTTACACTCAAGCTTTGCGTTTGCAATGGGGGAGGACAAAGTTTGATACAATTTGCGTCTTAAAATTGAAGGTATACTAATGGTATTACCAACTACCATAGCCATAATGTCCTACCACTTCACCTAAACAATAAAAAAATTATTACGAATTCATAAAAAATCACAAATTATTCATAACATTAAAAATATAAACATAACTGTAAACAATCCTACTTCGACAGTTCTCATTGTATATCACAGTTTTTGTTTTTGCTTAGTTCAAATTAGCTGTTTACATAAATGCAAATAAAATTATAGTGCTGCACACTGTTGGTAAATCTTATAACATTTAATGCTTTTGTATATCATAGAACCAACTTTTTTAGTTGAAACAGCTTACTAAATTCTTTACTTCCCTTTAAATATGAATACTCATAAGGTTAACATGGGGAACTACAGAGCCACCGGGGCAGAGCCCGAAAGGATTTTTGAGATATGAATATGCCTATATGTTAATCGGGAATGAGAACTATCATCATGCCAAATTTCAGCCCAATCCGTCCAGTGGTTTATGCGTGATTGAACTTCAAACAAACAAACAAACAAACACACAAACTTTCACATTTATAATATTAGTAAGATTGTATCAATCGTCGGCGTTATTATTGATTACCCAATAAATAATGGTATCCAGTTAAAATCGACCACGCAACTTTCAGATTTAAAGGGGAGCACTTTGACCACTCAGATACCCAGACCTCTATCAGTAAGTGTTTATTTTAAATAGTCATCATTTATCATGCCTTGAATGACATTTTTTAAATATAATCAACATGTTTCCCCATTTTCATTTTTTATTTTATTAAAATTGATTCATACTGTGGTTTTCTTACCTTTTATCATTGATTGACACCCAATGACAAATTACCCCTCTTGGAATCAAACTATTTATAAATTTTATGGATAGCACTATTTCTACTTGGCTGCCTATAGTTATATTTTACATGCCGTATACGATTTTTTATAGACAAATAATGATTATATAGGGTTTTTAAATAAACCGATTAAGTTACAGCTTAAAAACTTGGCTTTTCTGATTGCAAGAGTTTAGCATCAGGTTTTGTAGCAGCAAGGCTTTTTCTTTATCCAATTTAGACCTGAATTCCTAATAAATAGGGACCGCCACAAGTTATTTTTACTTCGATTCAAGGATCAGTATTTGAGTAACAACAGGATCGTAAATTAATTGTATATTTGGAGGTGTTATCAGCCCTCTGAAGGTGTAGAGTCGCGTTTCACGTGTGTTGTCGGATGTCGGACGCGAGTGTTGACGTTCACTGCTCGACTAATGTAATGAGATCAACAAACACGCCAACATCGGCTATATTACACCTCTACACTACTGCAGTAGGTATTGGTTATGTTATACAGAATGTACAATACAACGATCTACATTCTAAATGATAAAAATCATCACAATGGTTACAATTTGACACAGTATATTTCAGAGGATGGTGGTAGTTTAGAATATAATTATCATCATATATTTCACAAATAATCGCTCGATCCAAAAGCTTTTGCTATCGTCTGCACTAGACACGTTTAGTTGAGAAATCCTAAAAAAACCCCTTGACAAAAAGTGTGTCAAATTGCTATGGATGTATTTTGAAAGTAAAAAAACTGCACCAAAGATAATCTACGTGACACATTTCGTACAGTAAAATAAAAATGTCTTATTAAACATTATTGAAACAAGTAAGAAAATATGGGTTGTTAGATTTGTTCAAAATACAGTTAAGTAAAATAACAGATTATTCTGTACTCCGTAGTATCTACAGACACAATTTAACGAGTGAATGAATAGTCTGTACATTAGCAATCTTGTGCTAGGGTCAATGTAAAACCCATATTATTATTTTTTCTGGCTATCTCCGATTCATAGAAATTCAGAAAATAAAGGCAAAACGATTTTAATTATGTGTTTGATTGCATGATATAATATTGATAAATGAGTGACACAAGATTTGTTGTGGGCTGCCACAAAACACAATGATGCGATTTCTCCCTAACAATCCCACGTCATAATACTATATGGTGTTATGATATCACTGAAGAGAAAAGTTATGTTATTTATCTGCATAACTACAATTATATGACAGTGGATGATGCAAACACCATGGAACTATTTCCGTCGACAAATCATGCTTACAAATTTCACAGAAAATATCCATGAAATTACATAAACAGTAAACAAGCTATGTGAATGGGTCATTCAAACTATGTTACTTTTTATTTCATAATTTATTTTTGTAAAAAATACAACCGACTTCAAAACGATCTAAAAAGAATGAAATAATTTTAATAAAGTAAACTTTTGTATTAGGCAAGCTCACGTATTTTAAGTCGGCGCGGCTCTATGATGATTTTTGATACAAAATTGAAAGAGGGTGACCATATTGCAGGTGACTATCTATAACTAAAGGTGTTAATCTGCATGTCTTTTTCATAGTTATGCTTTAAGTGTTATTTTATTACCGTAATCAGAGATCGGCATTATAGTGGTATTAACGAGTATCTTTAAAAAGATTATAACGCATTTTAATGTTTCTAACTTGGAAAAGTAACGTTTTAATACTAAACTAGTTTCTTTTCCCTATCATAATATCAAACTAAATTATTTTCCTATTCATATAGAACATTTGTGTGTGTTATTTTCATAATGGATTTATTCTAAAGTAAACATAAAATACAAGAAAATATTTCCTTTAATATATAAACAAAACAGTTCAGTATGTTTTTTATATATTTATGTTATCCATCTACAGTTTATTGATTTTCAAAATACACACACAATATTTAATTTTAATCATATTTGCAGTTTGAGCCGCGCCACGTGAGCTTGCCTAATACAAAAGTTTACTTTATTAAAATTATTTCATTCTTTTTAGATCGTTTTGAAGTCGGTTGTATTTTTTACAAAAATAAATAAACCTGGGGAGTAACTATGATATTGTATGGGTAAAATCACAAAGAATAGCTACAGCTTCTATAACCGTAATTTTTACAGATTTTGTTTGGAGTTAAGAGGATCTACACAACATACTAAATTTTAATCAAAATCGTTCGAGCTGTTTTTGGTAAAAAGCGGATTTTTCGTTATTTTACGGGGTTTTTATAAAAAAATAACCATTAAAAGTCATAATCTAAAAAAAAAACTGGAGATAATTACAGTAAGAGACCAATACAAAAAAGAATATCATCAAATCGGACCACAGGACGTGTAGTCTGTAACTCTATAACATTAATAAAACAACTCATAATAGTTCTTTACATCGTTACTCTACATACATCCACTGACACACAGACATCACTTCGAAAACCACGTATTTGGGACCAAAAAAAGGTTATTTCCACCCAAAACTCAACCTCGAAATTTTTTTCGAAAACAATACGTTCTCCAAAAGTAGGAAAGGTAAAAAAATTGCTACAGCTGGTCCATGTACTTAATAATCCAAATGACATAGGCTATGTTGCATCATAGGTTATGTTGGTCCCTATGATAAGTGATTGTACAAGAATAGTTTGCCATTTCGTGATCAACTGATCGATAGGGTCTGGGATAATGCAAGGATACTTCCTCGGAGCTGTGCTGTTTTCAACAGACACCGTACAACATTGAGCAATGGCAATACTCGCCACACGCAATCCCAACATGCCAAGAGCCTGTGAATTCTTCATGAAGTGTAAGAAGTAACATGATTTACTAATTAATGAGGTGATAATTTTCAAGCTTAAATCATGAGATTAATGTAGAATCGTAGAATTTGCTACATTTCATTTTGTAATAATAAAGTAGAGTCTTGATAAGAAGTCTCTCTTGGGAATTATCAAATAAGACTTGTTATCAAAGTTGAATTTATCCAATTTGCAATAAAAATGTGATTAAGGGTAGTACAAATTCAAAGGGTCTTAAAAATTGACACTTGCTATCGAGGCTCTTGTTATCGAGGTTCTACTGCACTTAATTCATGTATGAACTTAACGTGTGTCTTTAACTTTGCAAAATGCAGTCATTGATGTTACCAATGGTACACTAATAACATTCTAAAAACTAAAGTGTGCTAATGCGTTGATTTTTAATAAGTATAAGGTTTTTTGTACCGTATAAGTAGATTAAAAGTGCTGATACAGTTGAATGCAACTGGGTAATTTTGAGAATCTTTTACTTCTAAAGACTATTTAAAAAATTATCTATATATTAATAGGCAAGCACATTATTTAAAACCTTTTTTCTCAGCTCGTGTGCATCGCAGGGGAAATCTACGCATACTGTTGGAAAGATATTTTCCTGTAGATGTGCAGAATACCTTTATAAATTAAAATAGGGTCAAAAATTAACACACAAAATGAGTTTAAAATTTTGAAAAAATTAACATGGATCTTATGGGTTGCCATGCTGGTGACGAAATAACAACGAAATATAAACAGAAAACAAAAACAAATGTAAGAAACTCCAATCGCATGTTTTATTTATAGTGTGGGTAGAAAATAGAGAAGTCTGTACATTACATATTTTTGATCGAGTTTCGACCACTGGACGACCTCTAGTTCTATTTATTATGCAGTCCTGCATCACAATTCTTTAACTAACAATAGCACATAAATGATCTTATATCACAAATTCCTGTAATATATAACATTTTATTATCTTGCATTTATGTTTACTATGATGGGCATTTAGTATAAGGAGTAGGAAGCTGTTTTATATTTTTAAAGTCAAATTACAAAAAAAAATATTGTCCGAAAGTAAAATCAAAATTATATGTGGTAGTCTTTTTTGTAATTCAAGTATTTTCCCTCGAACCAGAAGTTCATCACCAGTAAACACAAGTTTATTTTATATTTTTGTTTTAAAAAGTTTTAAAATTATTAAAAATGTTTCAAACAATTAATCTACTTACGAATGCAAGGCAACATCTGGATTCTCTGAGCGCCCCGCAGTATCCCAGGAAGCTGAGTAGGAAGATGAAGGCTCCGGCCGCGATAAGTATGTAACTAAGTTGGGAGATGACGTGAGGTTGGGAGAAATGCTTGAACTGGAACACAAGAAAACAATAAGTTAATCAATGGGTAAACATATTGTATGTCAGTAGGAGTAATAACATACAATTATTCAAATAGCTTGACTGCTTGAGCCTCCAATCTATGAAGATGGATGGGTCACCCCTATACTTTGTTAGTACTATAGTCTATATGATGGAACCTGTTTCCTGACCTTCGTCTCCCTAGAGACTGGTCAGAATGGGAGGTGGACGGAGGTCAGGAGATGGGATCCATCATGCAGACTATAATTATTGTTACCTAGTGTCACCACTATGAAGTTCTCTGTGTGTTATGTTCGGAATTTTCAAACTTTGACTGGTTTCTGTACTAATATAGTTATGTTTAGGTACTTTATCACCTAAAACACATACCAAAGCCACAATAACCCCTTGAATAACAACTCAAAGGGGTTAGTTAACCACACAAAGGATATTAGTAAAGATTGAAAGACGAATAAATGTTGACGAAAAAGTGCATACAATACTTAATTAAATACGTAGTAATTTTTGAATGAGCAAAAATCTTAACTGTATGTAGATATTCATATTTCTACTATATTTACTTTACTTTTAGCCTCGAACTATACTACTAAAACAGTTAATACATTTTGTTCTTAATATTACTAGAAACCATTCACAATAACCACTCTCCATTAAGATAATAAGCTAAGGAGTTGTAATATGTTTTAAGGATTTAAAATGTTTACGTGATCTTCGTTTCTTTCCATTTTAACATTTCCTCAACACGTCCGTTACCAATGACTATTTATTGGTTTGTGAAAACAGCTAAAGAAAGGAATGTGCCGCTATGTTACCGTACGCGTAGCATGGTCTAGCCTAGCCAATGGCGACTACAGCGATAAGATAGTGCAAGTCTAGAAACAATAATGACCCCCATTATCAGTATAAGAACAAGACGCTAGCACCAACTACCGTGTTCAGTGATAGGAGAGCGAGCTGGACAAGCGAGAACGCTGGTCTTCGCTCCCCGAGATCCCGGGTTCAAATCCTAACAATCACCATTGCATCTATGTGATAATGTCACGACTCTCTATAGCTTAAAGTAGTGCAAGACTGTTCCGGGTCCTAGGATGTGAAGGGGGGACGATCAGTGATTTGTTTCTGTCCCATGTTAGAACCATTCACATCAACTACTCCTCATGTTACACTACTCACTGATGAAACCATTTCCTTTTTACCAACCATCAAGCTAATCTTGTGATCTAGGCCGTGAATTGCTTTCTTCGTCGGTTCGTCTGTTTACTCTTTAAATTTCGGTGAGTCGGTCTTCCTCTTCTTCTCCTTCGTGTTGTTACATATACATTACAGTGCAGAAAGCTGAACTGAGGCTGTTTTAGGACGTCTATGTCCTCGGTGTCTCAGTCAGTACCGCGGTGAACTTTGGAACGGTGTTGCGGATTTTTTTCCCACTGCTGCTTTAAATTTATCCGTAAAGCTCCTACGCTATGACACGCCGACATATGAGTGTGCAATGAGGGACTACGATCAGCTGGTTTCTTGGTCTGGATCACTGAACTAGAGATACAACTGAAGAAAGTACTGGTACGGCAACTTTGGTAGAAAATCGGCACACTGTTAAATATTGTTATGTTGGTACCAACTAGACTCAGGCGGTTTGAGGGGAAGATACCCCACTACTATTTTTGCTTATTGTATATGTTATATGTTGCAGTTAATTGACGTTTGGCCAAACCTCAGAGGATGAGCTATTGTTTCAAAGGTAGCATCAGGGGGGGGGGGGTAGAGGGGTAGATGTCTTCACCTAAAACCACCAAAAGTTTGTGATCGGATTAGTACATGGTGACAATATCTCTCAATTCTATCATTCAGTGGTATCTATTATTATGGCCAGGATTATTAATTAAAAGTACAATAATCAAGAACAGCTGGGTCCAGTTTCGAATCATGAAAAAGATTTTAAAAGGATCGAACCAAGGATTACACGAGGACTATCTTTAAATATTGACTATGAATATGAAAGAGGTTTAAAATAATTTTACAGTTTCACCAGCCGGATATTCTGTTTCGCTATCGAATTATTTCAAAAACCGCTTCAATCAGTTTACTTGTAAACATTCTTCAACTTTTGGCCCTGCCTTAAAACAATGCTACGGTTTCAACTGGAGCAAAACCAGGGTAAAAACGAAGAGGTCAAAGACATTTGGACAAATACCGGCCCAAATACCGAGCAGGACTTCTTTGTTGTCAGTCGTCGGTGATGCTGCAAGAATAACGAGCAAACCCAAAAACATCCCGAATCACTGATGAGCTTCTTTGTTCAACTCGTTCAGGAATCGCTCATTGTGTTCTTATTAAATTTAATCTTATTAATATTTAACCCAATAGTTATTGTACTGAAGCGTTGTGGGTGGAGAGTGTTGTTGTTTTTCTCGCAGTACGATAATTGAAAAATGTTACGACCTCTAGAAACTGTGTTTTGAAACCGAACACGTTTGATGAGGTTTGTAGGATAAGTTTTAAGGGTCGTGAATCGTGAAATGAAACAAAAATGTTCAGTGGTCTGAAACGTTTGAAATGTATACTCGTCATAGTTTTATTTAACGTGTTAAGTATGAATTGCACAGAATAGTCATACCTTTACATAAAAGTCTCGACTCGAGGCGCATTTTCGTCATTGATTGAGTTCTTTGAAACAATTTTTCGAATGTATCAAATTGATCTGCTGAACCGCTGAATACAAATTAAGATTAGTTTCTCCACTATGTGTAGAGTGCGTTTCATTGTTTACCACTTTTTAGTGTTTTAATTTCACATATTTTATAGCTAATTCAATCAACAACTGTATAGGTGTGCTTGAAACACGAATCATAAAATCTGCCCTAAAAAGAATCAACGGTTAGAATATTTGTTTTTGGCGTACACAAACTAAACAACATTTAGTTGACAATAGCGCACTCAAAAGTCACTGAGAAAAACACATAACAGTCTACTTGCTCTATTCTAAATCGAGGGTATTATTGGTCTGTGGTATTATTTAGGATAACAGAAGAAAGCAATGAAAATGTCTGCAACTGAATTGGTTGAAATACTACTTCGACTGCACTGTGCAATGACGATTCCAAGAGTTAACATACATCACTGCAAATATCACTAAAATTCATACACATTCTAGGAAACACATTCGCAATAGGCGCCACAGACGTAGCAAGTAGAAGGGTCAACCAGAGGTCGCTGCCCACGCTGTTACGACATCTCCTCTGTCCTGTCATTGTCTAACAGTTATCTGCTCATCACTATCATCGTCATCATCATCATCGCCACGTTAGTGGCTACACATTACACACTAGAGATCATATGTAGCCTACAGTAGAGTCCATACAGTGGAAAAATTGTGACGTGCAGGTAAAGTAATAGAGTGGCTGGGGCAGGACAGTTATAATATATGGCTTTATCGACTGTTGTAAGACATTTACTGAAGAAAATAGGAATGCAAACGTTTTATGAGGTTGTGACAAAGATAGAATAGTTTATCATCCATTGGCATTTAAGGAGTAAGTTCAATGCAGAAAATGTTCTCGCTGAGAAAGCTAGATCCCCATCTACTACTCTAGAGTTCTTTGACACAATTTTTTGGATGCATCAAATTGATCTGATGAACCGCGGAAGACAAATTTAAGATTTTAGTTTTTCTCACTTTGTGTAAAGAGCGTTTCATTGTTTACTACTTTTATTGTTTTAATTTCACATTATTTTATAACTAACCAGCTGTACCCGCGGGCTTTGTCCCGTTTAACTTCACTCGCATGGCTCAATCACGTCCTGGTTGAAGTTCGTTCGCTACGCTAACTCGCTTCCAGGTTGAAGTTCGTTCACTACGCTCACTCACCTTTTGGTTGCAAAATGGCTGTAGTCATAAATAAAAAAAAATAATAGTGCTGCACCCTGTTTGTAATCCTTGTATAACTTTAATGCTATTGAACATCATAGAACAGAACCAACTTGTTTAATTGAAACAGCTGTTAAGAAATTCCTTTTAAATATGAAAAATCATAAGGTTAACATGGGAAACTCCAGAGCCACTGGGGCGGAGCCCGAAAACCTGATCAGAATAAAAACTACTTAGTTTTCCTATTTAATGCCCAAAGAATCGGTGTACCGAATTTCAGCCTCCTAGGTAAATGGGAAGTGGGAGAGTTAGTGATGAGTGAGTGAGTGAGTGAGTGAGTTAGTCAGTCAGTGAGGGCTTTGCCTTTTATATATTTAGATTTAACAAAATAAATCTCCATATGTAGGAATGCAAATGTTTTATGAGGTTGTGACAAAGATAGAATATTTTATCATCCAGTGGCATTTAAGGAGTAAGTTCAATGCAGAAAATGTTCTCGCTGAGAAAGCTATATTTTAGTATTTCTTTGTTTTCTGTTGTTGTTTTGGTTATGTGTGGATCTACTACTCCCTTAAGTCGAACTACGAACCGCCGCCGTGGGTAGCAACAGTATCACATACGGTAGCTAAAATAAATTTCTGATTGACAATATTTCAACCAGCAGCCTGGACCGCCGAGTCTCGCGCTGTAACCACTGCCTGTTTGAACACGCGTACCATCCGGATCATACAGACTATAGTGAGATCACAAAAAGCCCCATTTTAAACTGCACACACTGGGTGTGCTGTTTAAAATAAACACATGCATATACTACGGATATAACGATCAAAACAACAATGAAAATTCATCTATAAAACTTGTGATATCCTGTCATGGACGAATAAGGAAGTATGATATGCCGTAGTACGTTTTATACTCGTAAGCATGAATCTTCTAGTGAGTCATCCGCAGATCATTGGTCCATGACTCTGACATTGCTACATTGTTATCTACAACTCTCAACAACAACACAACAGTACCAACTTAACTAAACATAAAACAATGGGTGACCTGTGGCGTCTCCCGATGCTGGCGGAAAAGATCACCCTGAAATCGATTGCGATTGTTACTGCTGACAGTTGGCTCC